TCCTTTATGGGAAAGTTTGGCCAACCCCTGCTCTAGAGTAACAGGGAATTGAAGGAAATGTTTCTGAGCAGTAATTACTGTCTAACATATTGTCCTCTTCCATGTTCCCATGCTATAGCCAGGCTATTCCAGAGTCCCTAAGACACAGTACATACATTTCTAATTCAGTTTCTGACGCAAAGGAGCCCTTCAGTAAATATTTCATAGAAATAAAGTGTTATTGAAATGTGAGTGCATTTAGAATTTCCAAAGGAAAATGCAAAAAGAAAATGAGTGTTTACAAAATAAGACATCTTGAGGGACTGCACACTGAAAGAGCGCTAGAAGTAGTCTTGCATGTTTGAAGCTAACACAACACTGGCTTGCCTAGCACAGTATGATAGAAAATAGCTGTGGGGAAACCCTTGCCTGAGGCTTGGCCAAAGCCATTGCTTTACAAATGGGCCAAGTCCAATATACTCACATTAAATCTGCCAAATCATGGGCAGTAACTGGATGGGACACAAGATCCTGCTCAGAAAAAATGACGTTCTCACCGAAACAGCGAAGGACATAAGATGTGCACAGACCGGCCCGCGGTGGCTCTACCAACTGTAATGTCCAGCACTTTGGAGGCTGAGGCAGGTAGATCACCTGAGGTTCAGGAGTGTCAAGACCAGCCTGACAACATGTCGTGAAACCCCACTCTACTAAAAATACAAAAGATAGCAGGCATGGTGACGTGGGCCTGCTTAGTCCAACTACTTTGGGAGGCTGAGGCAGAAGAGTCACTTGAACTGGGAGGCGGAGGTTGCAGTGAAGCCAAGATCCGCACACTGCCCGTCCACTCCCTGGGTGAAGAGCAAGCCCATCTAGAAAAATAGAAAAATAAATAAATAAGCCAGGCGCCGGTGATCTAGCGCCTGTAATCCGTCAGCACTTCTGGAGGCCGAGCGGCGAGGGTCCACAAGGTCCAGGAGATCCGAGGGACCACGGTGAAACCCGTCCTACTAAAAATAACAAAAAATTAGCCGGGCGCGGTTGTGGGCGCCTGTAGTCCCCAGCTGCTCGGGAGGCTGAGCAGAGAAATGCGGGAAACCGGGAGGCGGAGCTTGCGGTGAGCTGAGAGTTGCGCACTGCCTCCAGCCTGGGGAAGCAGCGAGACTTCGTTCCAAAAAAAAATAAATAAATAAAAAAAAAAATAAATAAATAAAAAACCTCAATGGAATGAGCTACTTCATTAGGACTGAGTATGAGAGGACAGCCCAGTTCATACAAGGCTTCCGAGACATTTCTACAAAGATGTTCAGGGAGATTTCTTCTAGCTCTACTTTCTCAAATCTTATTAAAACGCCCAAGCTTACACTGTTCTCTATCCTTTCGGTTTAGCGATTTCAACCCAAAAAGAAACTCAAAATTCTTACGTATTCACTGGCAGGACTGGGAGCAGATCTGCCAAGAGCACTTCTATGAGTGAGGAGGCTGGGCCAGAAGATACTTCTTTAGAGCCAATCAGAGCTCTGCCTGAGGAGAAAACGAAATTAGAACACCAGCAATTCAGTGGCTGAGCTCTGCCCAAAGGCGCCCCCAACTCACAAAAGGGCCACACCCACACCCGGACCTGTCGCTCTCTTTTGTGCGACAGGCATGGTAGAATGAGTTACCTATGTTGAAGGAAGATGGTACTTAGGATTCCAGTCACATCACTTACTTTTTCAGTCGCCTGTAAGTGACATCATTGGCAAGTTTTAACAGTCTGTAGGAATTCTCTCGTCCAAACTCAACTGGAAATCGTGGACTCATCAAAGGCCACCGTGACCGACTTCTGGGGACCCGGTCAGGATTCCGGTGCAGCTGCTGCCCTCATAGCAGCATCGTACAGGCCACACTATATCACCTGCGAAACACAAAGACTCAGTTGCAAGACACTGGGAAAGGTTCAATACCATTTTATGTAATAAAATCCAGCCATACGTCAAGTATTTTATCTTTGTACTTTTTACTAAATGCAACACTAACAGTTTAAAACAAAAAAAGTTTAACACCTAATCATATAAGAAACTCGACTTTGAGATCATGAACTATTCCAAACCAAGCAAGACACTCAGCGAAAATATTACGAAGTGCA